CCCTTAGGAGGGGAACGGCTTGACAGAGCATTGTGTACCTGGAGATTTAATCTATGGCAAATTTATTGGCAATGTAATTTGGGACAAGCCCGACTTGTCCAAACCTGCGCAGATGTTTCCTGCTGCTTGGTCATGGAGGGGAGCCTTCACGGTGGGATTTGGAGATGGGACAGGGACTGTCAAGCTCCCAGAGTTTTTGTTTCGCACCTCCTGGCACCCCTATGCAGGGATGCAGAGCCCCGTCGACTTCTCCTGGGACAGCAGGGATGAGACCTTATAAAGTAGTTCTGGAAATCCACCCCTTGAGAATTAACCGGTTTCCAGAGGGTTAATGACTTCTCTCCCTCCCACCCTCCCCATTTTTCTTAGAAAATTAAGAACCATTAATCTCTGCATGCAGAGGCCTATGACATTTAAAATATTCAATGCAGTCAGTAACACTTTATAATGACAAGGTCGTGATTTCTGCATTTGATCATGAGTGATTTATGAAAATGTAGTAAACAGTGAAGCACAGTTCCCTTTCAGCAGCATTCTGGCGGCTGCTCCCTGTGCAGACTTGCGAGCTTTTCTTAATTTTTATTTTTCAAAACATAAAAAAGGCCCTGCAAAGCTGCTCCCATTCCTCTGGAGAGTTATGTTTTCCATGCATAATCCCCAGGAGAACGTGGTGTGGACTGAGATGAGGGAAGTGCGTGAGGCAATTCCTGCATTAAACCTTAAAACAAAGTCCCTTTTGTCTTATTCTTACTCTTCAGGAGCCATAAGTGAAGCTGACACTGCTGTGTGGCAAAGTGGAGCGTCCAGGAGGGTCCCACTGTGTGTGCTTAGTTTTCTTACCTCAGGGCAAATGACTTGGACCTGACAAACTTCCTCATACCTGAACTGGCTTTTCTTGAACCAGCAGCAGTTCTGGTCTGCGACTGCAAAGGCGGATAGAGCCGTCCGTCTTGATGCTTTTGTTTCATCCCTGTTTCTCTGTTATTCATGGTTTCTCTGTGTCCCCAGAATTGTCTCTGCTTTTCCGTTCTCTCGGGGTGCTGCAGGTTCTGCTTCTAGGCTGATGGTGCTGGTGCCTCATCGTAGGCACTTGTAGATGCCAGAAATCCCATTTTCCTGCAGTGCTGTAAGAGCTTAGGAGTTTAGGAGTCAAGGGGTGCCCCTGGACGTCTCCCTGGGCAGGGCAGGTGGCTGTGCGCCTGCTAGGCCCCAGCGGTACACCGGTGAAGCCACCTGTGGAGACACGGACCTGGGACTGACAAGCGACATTAAGAGAATGGGCAAAAAGGGAACATGGTGGCACTTCACCATGTAGTCATCTGCTGAGTCACTTCAGGAAAGCTGATGTGAGCTTCTAAATTACTGAGCCACGCTGATGTATTGCCTTGCCTAGGGATGCAGGCAGGAGTTCTGACCCTGCCCTGCTGATCAGTGGAGAAGGGCAGGTGTCTCAGAGCTGAAGATGGTTGTACCAGAAAAGGATTGCACTTTGGATGGTGCAAGCAGTCCCTGAAATGAATCCTCGACTTGGAAGAACTTTTTCAGCTCTTTCCAGCTAGTCAGTATGTAGCCAAATCGATGCTACCTCTGTGTTTAAGAATGCTAATTGAGGAATTGAAGGATAATGTAAAAGAGAGGGATTGTCTGTACCTGTGCTGTCTTTGGATCTAAGAGGGATTGTCTGTACCTGTGCTGTCTCATCTATTAGTCTCATATGCTGTGTTTTTTTTCCCTTTCTAAGTGCAAGGACACTTGCACTTTTTACCCAAGGACAAGTGCCTTCTCCTTGGATTCCACTCATCATCTGTTGATGTGAATATCTCTCACAGAGCTGAGAGTAAAACTTCTGAATTCATCCAGAAATTGCAGTTTGAGTTTTCAAAGGGATTATCGATTCTAGGAATGGCAGTTTATGGACATCCACCTTGAGATAGCTTGGGTAGAAAACTGATATTTGGAAGGTATTAAGCCTCTAGCATCTGAAAAATTATGTTTGGCTTGGTTATTTCCAGTTTATCTACCTGATATTATGTCCAAAACTACTAGTGTCTTTTAGAAATGCAGGCCTTTATGTTCCTATGGGAATAGAAAGTGGAGTAAAAAACATGTGTGTTGTCCATTGCTCATTCTTTTACTAAACGGGAATAGCTATTAAGGGAGTACAGCTGCCAAAAGATGAGCAGAATGGTTACAAAGAAAAAAAACGGTCTGTGTGACAGATTACAGTGAGTTCTTACAAATCTGTTACGCTATGCTGTAAAACTCCGTGTAGGATCATGTTAACTCTACAGAATTCACCTTTACCTTTAGATTATGAGGTTGTTATGGTGGAGTATGATTGCTTAGAAACCCTCTTCTCTTTTTTGTTCAACATTTCACTTCAATATATGGTTTTC